ATATATATATATATATATATATATATATATATATATATATATATATATATATATATATATATATATATATATATATATATATATATATATATATATATATATATATATATATATATATATATATATATAAGTAAATGACACTCAATATAAGGAATATTTTATTAAGTTAAATATGCTTTATTGTTATTACTTTATTGCTGTCATTTTTACCGTCATTATTACCATCTTTTATATTACTGTTGTTACTTTTACCGTCAATATTACCATCTTTTATATTATTGTTGTTATTTTAACCAATGAACTCTTCTGTTTTTAAGTGGGTTATTTCGAAGCAAACTAAATATGAAACAGCAAAAATTTTAACGTGATATTACTTTGATATAATAATGGGGAAGGACATACAACTGCAAATGAATACATATTTGTGCAAAAACATGAAACAAATGTATTTAAAAAATAAAAATCATGACCCAAGATAATTTTCAATATCCATTACCAGTAATTTTGTTTATATACACACACACACACCAGCCACTTTATTAGGTACACATTTAGGCATGTAGACATGGTCAAGATGTTCTGCCACAGTACAAACTGAGCATCAGAATGGAGATGAAAGGTGATTAAAGTGACTTTAAATGTGGGATGATTGTTGGTGCCAGACAGGCTGGTTTGAGTATTTCAGAAACTGCTGATCTACTGGGATTTTCACACACAACCATCTTTAGGGTTTACAGAAAATTTTCCGAAAAAGAGTAAATATCCAGTGAGTGGCATTCTGTGGGCACAATAGCCTTGCTGATACCAGAGGTCAGAGCAGAATTGCCAGACTGGTTCCAGCTAATAGGAAGGCAACAGTAACTCAAATAAGCACTTGTTACAACCGAGGTCGACAGAAGAGCACCACTGAACGCGCAACACTTCCAACCTTGAGGCAGATGGGCTACAGCAGCAGAAGACCACACCTACTGTTATTTAAGAACAGGAAACTGAGGCAACAATTCACACAGGCTCACCAAAATTGGACAATAGAAGATTGGAAAAACGTTGGTCTGATGAGTCTCGATTTCTGCTGTGACATTTGGATGGAAGGGTCAGAATCTGGCATCAACACCACAAAGAACTGAGGCAGTTCCGAAGGCAAAAGATGTCCTACCCAGTACTAGTAAGATGTACCTAATAAAGTGGCTAGTTAGTGTATAAGCACATTATTCATACCCTTGGTTTAAATTGATAGTAAAATTCCTGCAAATTTAAGCATCACTTTAAAAAAAAATGACTGACACTATACCAGCTTGAAGAAGTGTCAGATTTGTCTTTCCTTTTGATATATACGGCTTGACACATCACATAATAAATGTACATGACAACCTACTGTACTAAATCCAACCATAAAGTCAATTCAGGAAGCATCACAGGGATTTTACTGTACAAATAACAAATTATAATAATAACACTGAATGTATATGACTCTAAAAATAAAACCACAACAAACATACTCCAGTGTGTTTTACCCTATAGTTTATTTGCGTTTCATGTCAAGGGGTGAAAACTTGCCTACAGTAAGCAACTGAAGGAAATATACACAGCAATCCAGTCTACACACTCTGAAGAACCAACTGTACACACATCTGATCACCTCAACAGTGTTACAGCTTTCCATTCGGTTTCCCCCCCAGCAACTGTTACAAATGCAGATTCAAGGCAAAAAATAAAATACAAAATAAAACGACATTGACAGTCTTCAAAACACAAGACCTCCTGAAGAAGCTCCTCAACAACAATTACAAAAATTCAGTGAGAAATTCAATGGTTGAGATGCAAAATTTCAGTATTCGACAAGTGCGTTGTTTTTCAATTGAGATGGTAACATTTTAAAGTGCTTTTAAAAGATTAAATTAGACAACCGTTAGACAAATGAGCATTAAACACTAAAACAAACTCTTGAGTGCCGTTTTCATTCCTTCTCCTGTCACTTTTTTTCTTCAGTACTGCTGAACTTGCACTACGCCAGATTGATATTGCACACAAAATGTCTTAATAACGCCATCTTCAGTATTTCCCCCTGCGACTACAGTACTACAGTAACTTACACAATACACCTAGTAGGATCTGAATCCAATTTATATGGAAAAACAGGGAAATGGAAACCAAGTATGCTGGAATCTATAACAATACATACGAAAATACAACTTAAAAAAAAGATCGACGAACAAAACAACGGCAAAAATCCTAGTCTATGATAAAAGAAATAAATAAAACCATGTTACATCTAACTGCAAGTGCAACATAATGAAAAAAAATGACCTAAAATGGGTAAATAAACCCCACCCATTGTTAGATAAGCCCCACCCACTAACACTACTCAATGAAAGGCAGTAATGTTGTGCTGAATGAGAAGCATAGAAACCATCGAGAGCCAATCAGCAGGTCTGAATATGCAAACGATTTAAATAAAATCAAAAGGCAACCAAAACCACAGCAGACAATAATAATAATCCATGATCTTTTTGTTTTCGGTTGTATGAGCCAGAGCTAAATGCTGTGTGGGTTCCTGCTGGGTTGTTTGCAAAGCTCAAAATCATCGTTTCTAAAATGCACCACTACAAAATATGGACTAAATAGTACCAAAAAAAAAATGACAAAAGGGAGCATAGCTATATTGTGACTTCAATGGCTGTTTGACCATCGCACAAACTGTACACTCCCAACAAAACAACAGTATATAAGCAGTGCAAAACAATCCAATGACCTTTTCTGTATTGCTTTACGAGGGCGTTGGGATGTGACCATTCCTACATTCAAACATCCTTCAAATGAGAGACAGTTCAGCCAAAAATTAAACTTGTGTCATTTATAATTGTGTATAAAGTTTTTTCTTTTTTGTGGCTTTGCAAAGATTCATGTACACATGACAACATTGTTAAAATGATCTGTTAGTTTAGCGGAAACCACTATAAGTGCTGTTGTTTGCATGCCAGGCCAGTAGTTGGCGATGTGACTGAAGAAACACTATGCATAAATATTTCTCTTAAATGCAGTGAATGCAAAGATGGCTTCATGCATTCCTATCCGCTTGTTAAGTCGTGATGTGGAATAATGTTTACTGATAAAATAATAGTTTGTGACCACTTTTTAGTCATATCATTAAAGTCAATTGTAAATAAAATCTTGGTGTACACAATTTGCTATATCACAGACACCAAAATTTTAGCAATTTATAAAAAATGTATCACTTTCTGCCTATCGGATATTAAGCATGGATATATATTGCGATCATGATTTTCGAAAGTATTACATCGCTTTGTAAACATT